TGGCTGGCATGTAGTGCTGGGGGATTGAACCGCGGTCCCTGTGCTTTGCTAAGCTTGTTCTAAGTAGGTGCTTTAGACCACTGAGCCATCTCACCAGCTCAACATTTACATCTTTAATCCTTTTTAACCAAACCAAAGCTGATTTGGTGTGTGGTGTAAGATAAAGGTCCAGGGCCTTTTTTTTTTTTGAGATGGGCTCACTGTGTAGTTCTGCTGGCCTTGCTCAGTTGCCCAAGTTGAGTTTTGATTTATAGTTCTTCCTGTGTCAGCCTTCTAGAGTACTGGAGTTACAGGCTCATATCACCACTTCTGGCTTTTGTTTTCCTTTTCTAGTACTTCTAGAATTATATACTGTTTGTGGGGCTGGTGAGATAGCTCAGTGGTTTTGAGTGCCTGTTGAGGCAAGCTTAGGCGGGCACAGGGGACCATGGTTCAATCCCCAGCACCACATGCCATGACAGCCCTGCCCTCAGGGCAGGCTGCGCTGGGCAGGAAAAAAAATTATATACTGTATGTTTCTAGTTACAAATTATCTAAAGTGTAATTCAGTGATAAAACTGAGGAGCACTACTGCTTTGTCATTGGGAACATGAACTAATAGAACCATTATGGGAAACAGTATAGAGATTTCTCGAAGAACTAAAATTAGAAATTCTGTGTGATTCAGTGATTCCCCTTTTAGATATTTTCCCCAGAGAGCTACTGATATACCGTGGTGATGCATGCATACCATAATTCATTATAACTGAATCCTGGAAGCAGCCTATATGCCCTCCAGCAGATAAATGGATAAAAAAATGTAGCTATACCTAATAGACTGCTACCCATTTATAAAGAAGGATACATTCAAGGCATTTGTAGGGAAATGGTTGCATCTGGAAAATATAATGTTGAGTCAAATAAAGGAGACACGTAAGCTTAAATAGCATATGGTAGCTCTTATTTGGTTTTGTTGTTGTTGTTATTTTATTTTGGTTTTTTTTGTGGACCGGCGCTAGGTTTATTGGCACTGCCTCTAGAAGAAGGTATTGGGCCTCTTGGTGGTGAAGTGGGACTTGCGCTGGTGATGCAGGACCTGGTGGGGCAGCGGGAACTTGATCTTGGAGTCGGGAAACTGCTTGACAGCCAGCTGGCGGCACTTGCTGGCTGTGATCTCTTCCACCTTCATGATCTGGATGGAGTGGGCGCGGGTTTGGTGCCGGGCGCCCATGTCCCAGTAGCACTGGGCGACGGCGCCTGCTGCAGTCAGGTCCTGGTACTCCCAGTACATGTTGTGGGTGCCACTGCGGGAGTCACTGCACAGCCAGATGCCAAACTTCTTTACCCGCAGTGGAGACTTCTCAAACACCTGCCTACAGTAGACGATCTCCCCTGAAGATTTGTTCCTTTTCTTCAGCTGTGACACGAAGTACCAGAAATGGGACTTGGCGACAACGTGATTGGGCGCAAAAATCCACATGTGGTGCAGAGGTGGCGTGTGGCACTTTGGGGTGGGTAGGCAGCGCTCCACTACCTTGTGTTCCCGGAGTGTGCCCGAGGCCTTCAAGGGACTCCCTTCTCACTTGCTGCCACCCACAAAAAGGAAGTTAGCTCTTATTTGAATAAGACAAAGTACAAATAAAAAGCATAGTAAAGGATGAATTAAAGAAAACAAGGAAAGGGACCTGGGAGACCATGGTGAGAGGAGAGGAGAGGGGAAGGGGAAGCAAGTAGAATTAAAGTATGCCATGTTGGGGAACCTGATAACATCAAGAATGTAAACGCATGTCATAAACATGAGCTAAGGATAGCAACAAGAGTGACAATGAGGAAAGAGGATTCAGAGGCAGAAGGAAAGTAAATAGGAAGAGGAGTTTTAAAAAAAGGAACAACTCCATGTGCCAGTTCCCCAAGATGAATGCAAACTTTATGTACTACAATCATGTACTAATAAAATAAAAGTAACTTAACCAATCATTCCCATGATCTTTTTCTAACTTAGGAGTAAAACAGGCTTGCCATGATTATTAAAGTCCTAATTGGGTTTGGTAGACGGTGGATTGATTCAAAAATTGCGAGATAGCCAGATGTAGTAGCACATGTTTGTAATTCTAGCATTCATGCAGGTGGATTTCAGGTTCAAGTCCAGCATCTTACTGATTTAGCAAGACCTTTATAAAAAGGGCTGGAATGTGGCTCAGTACAAAGACCATGTGTTCAGTTGTCAATACTTCCCTCAAAAGAATCATATATACAAGAGTTAAGGGCCATGAATGGGAAAGACAATTGTGAATACAAAATACTTCAGATTTATCCTGAAGCTAGAGTAAATCAATGTGATAAAATTGGTTCCACAGAACTGAAGGTAGTCTAAGAGAAGATGAGTAGGGAATCAGTTATATAGCAAAGGTAGTGCTTTGATTCTTCTTTGTGGATATCAGGGATTAAATCCAGATTCTGTGTACTGTGCTCTGTGCTATATTCTCTGCACCCCTCCCCCCACCCCCGACTTTGTTTTTTGAAGCAGAGTCTCACTGTGTAGTTCAGGCTAGCCTTGAACTCATTGTGTAGCCCAGGCTGCCCGCAAACTTGAAGTACTTTCCTCACCTTCCCAAGTCTTGGGGTTATTGGCTTCTTTCCCACCACTCCCCCCCCCCTTTTGGTGGAACTAGGGATTGAACTCAGGCCCTTGCTCTTGCCAGTGAAGCACTTATTCTGCTGAGCCATCTCCTAGGCCCTTTCACACCCCTTTTGAGACCAAGTCTCATTAAAGTTGGCTGAGTTGTCAAGGCTGGGTTTCAACTTGATTCTTGTGCCTCAGCCTCCTGGAGTGCTAGAATTACAGATGTGCTGCCACTATGCCCAGCTCAGAGGTGGCATTAGAATTCAGTGGACAAGGGCCTGGGGAGATGGCTCAGTAGAAAAAGCACTTGCCTGGCAAGTGCAAGGCCCTGAGTTCAATCCCCAGTTCCACATAAAAAAAAAAAAAAAAAAGAAAAAAAAAAAGAATGAATGAGTGGGGGCTGGGGAGATAGCTCAGTAGAATAAGCACTTGGCACTTGCATGGCAAGTGGAAGGGCCTGAGTTTAATCCCTGGTTAAGAAAAAAGTATGATTAAATGTAAATATGTCTCCAAACAGTGCTATTTAGTACATGGCTGTCTGTTATATTGTTGATGTTGTATATTTTATAATACCATAGTACTGTGCACAACAAGGACTGTCTTAAATGCTGTTTGTTGGTTGATTGGTTGGTACTGGGAACCTAACTCGGGACCTTGTGCTTGCCAGGAAGGCATTGTGCCACTGAGCTGTACCTGAAGCTCACTAGATACAGTTTTATTTTATTATTTTTTTAATTTTATTTTAGAGAGAGAGAGAGAGAGAGTGTGTGTGTGTGTGTGTGTGTGTGTGTGGCCAGCTCAGCCCACCAGGGGGCAAAATTGGCTGGCATGTGGTGCTGGGGGATTGAACTGTGGTCCCTGTGCTTTGCTAAGCTTGTTCTAAGTAGGTGCTTTAGACCACTGAGCCATCTTACCAGCCCAGTAGATGCAATTTTTTTTTTTAATGAGACAATAATAGATCTTTATTGATTTGGGGGGGTGAATAGATGCAATTTTAATGAAAGCTAATTCCAAAATATTGCTATGATTTACCATGCATCTGTTCATGAACCCCATTGAACCTATACTTGTTTATTTGAAGTCTTCTTGAGTTGCTTTCCATCACTGATTTCTAAGCTTGTTAAACACTGATTAGATTATGGCTATTGTTTTGGATGAAGTTAAGGTGGTCATAACATGATACATGAAGGATCATAAGAAAGTCAGTGTAATGGCTTTGATCATTTTCCAGAATCTTGGTTCATTTTATGTATTAAAAGAGATCTTTTAAAGGGTATGAAGATAGTTTTTTTTTTTTTTTGTTGTTGTTTGTTTTTTGTGGAACTGGGGATTGAACTCAGGCCCTTGGGCTTGCCAGGTAAGCGCTTATTCTACTGAGGCATCTCCTGGTATGAAGATAGTGTTAACCCATATTTATGTTTCCTTAGCCATCAACACCATAACATGCTGGCAACAACTGAGTCTTCTGAATCCAGCCCTTTAGCTTTGTCGCCATCAGAAGCTGGGGTCATAGCACTGTGTGAGGTGAAACCTGCTGAGCAGACTTGTACAGAAGAAAGAGATGTTGACCAAAATAGCAAATCACTGTAGGTATTTTACACGGTAGGATTTATTTTCAGAGTTTTGATAAAGTTCTTAAAACTTTTTTATTTTTTTTTTATACTGGTGCTGCTGGGGTTGGAGATTAATTTTGATAAGGTTCTGAAAACATTTTTGGTGATATTGCTAGGGATTAAACGCAGAACCTCACATATGCTAGTCTAACACTGTACCACTACCCTCCAGCCCTTGATAAATGTCCTTAAATGATAACAGTGCTATATTTAGGAAATAGATGGGACCATTAATATATTGACCATTCAATGTGTAATTATTTTTGTTTCGTTTTGGTTGGTTTTGGGTATATGTGTGTGTTAGAGACAGGGTCTCTGCAGTCCAAACTGGCCTTGAACACAGTATGTAGCTTGGATTGGCCTCCAACTCCCAAGTGACCCTCTTGCCTCAGCCTCCTGGGTGCTAGGATTGCAGGCATGTGCCAGCATACCAGACTGCATCATGTTTTATAGTATGCTGTTAGCACAGTACAAGGGATGGAGCTAAGTCTAGTTTTTGTGAGTGTTATCTATGATTTCCCCATACCATTTAATTTTGTGTAATTAAAAAAATATATTTTGGGGGCCAAGGAGATAGCTCAGTGGAATAAGCGCTTCCCTGGCAAGCACAAAAAACAAAAACAAAAGCAAACAAAAAAAATCTCATTGTTTTAAGGTACTATCATTAATACACTAAAATCAAATTATCACCCTCAATGATAAATCTCTTTTGCTTATCTATATAAAATGTTTATTTAAAATATTTCTTTTTTTTTTTCTTTTTTTTTTTTTTTTTGTGGAACTGGGTATTAAACTCAGGCCCTTGTGCTTGCCAGGCAAGCTCTTATTCTACTGAGTTATCTCCTGGCCCCTAAAATTTTTTTTTTTTTTAAACATTTATTTATTTATTTTTGTGTGTGTGTGTGTGTGTGTGTGTGTGTGGCCAGCTCAGCCCACCAGGGGGCGCGGCTGGCTGGCATGTGGTGCTGGGGGATTGTGCTTTTCCAAGCTTGTTCCAAATAGGTGCTTTAGACCACTGAGCCATCTCTCCAGCCCTAGCAAAGTGTTTTTAATTACTGATCCTGAATATTATATTTTTAGTACATAGCAGAATAAGTTAGTCTCTTTTGGTTGTTTTGCTGCCTTTATAGGTAAAGAAGCTTTAAAAGTTCTTTCTGATTCCAAGTGAGTAATTTTATTTTATTTTAAAGAGAAAAAAACTTAAAATTTCAAAATAAGATAATAGGATGGTAACAATGGTTAATACATTGCTTATTATCTTTATATTAGTAATCCCAGCCCTCAGGAGGCTAAGGCAAGGGGATCACTTGAGTCTGAGGCCAGCTTGGGCTACGTAGTGAATTCAAGGCTAACCTGAAATACCCAGACAGGAAAGAAATTGAGTGGGTTATTGTAGAATGTTTTAGAATTTGATTTGAATATGACTGTATACTGTTTCCAATTTAAATAATACTAATCTTTTAGGGAAGCTGATCAAGCAGAAAATGTTAAACTGGTGGTGAGAGGTCGACTCCAGCGACCTAAACCCAATCTGTCAAGGGCAGTTGGGAAGAAATCAACTCTTTCACAAGGCAAAGCAGATGCACAGAGTGACAGTTCACATTCAGAAACCTCTACTGAGAAGGTATGGTGGACGAGACATTGTGAAAATTAAAATTATAAAAGTCTTCCAGATAGTTGGGAATAGAAATACTTACCTTATAGCTACAAACTGTTGTCACAGGCATTACAACATAAGAACTCACACAGTAACATTAGATTTGTTCCTATCTTGCTAATCTCCTATTTGTAAATTTCTTAAAGAACTCAGACAAGAGCTGGGGAGATAGCTCAGTATGATAAGCACTTGCCTGGCAAGCACAAAGTCCTGAATTCAATCCCCAGTACCGCAAAAAAAAAAAAAAAAAAAAAAAGAACTCAGACATACCACTTGAAAAACCCTTCAAGTTTTTAGTGATGAATCTCTTTTGCTTACTTATATGAAATGTTTATTTAAAATATTTCTTAAACCAGTTATACATTAAATTTTACCCACAATCCTTTAAACATATACATTGTTTTGTTTGCATTGTCAAAAAGAAAGGCCAAGCTTTTGTAATCCCATCACTAAGGAGGCTGAGACAAGAGCATTACATGTTTGAGGCCAGCCTGGGATACATAGGGAGATCAAAGCCAGCATAAGGTCCATAGCAAGAACTCATGGTGATCCTCCTGTCTCAGCCTCTTGAGTGCTGGAGTCACAGGTATGCACTATCATGCCTGGCTTATATATTTATAACTAACAAAATTATTTTAAGCAGATCACTTTTCAAAATGGTGCTCAGCTGTTTTTCTTTTTATAGTTTTTTTCATTTTTTATGTGAATATCTTATTTTCTTTTTTTGTAGTATTTGTGTTTGAATTTAGGTGCCTCATGCATGCCTGAGTTGTATATTTCAGGCTGGCTTTGAACTCAGAAGTGTTTAGTCTGCCAAGTGCTGGGATTACAGGCATGTGTCACTATGCCTGGCTCTTGTTGTATGTTTTATAATTTAGCACTATGATCTTGTAGATCATTCTAGAAAAATCACTCAATTTTTCATTCTAGAAAAATTGGAAAATATAGTTTGATTTAAAAGTAAAAAATCGGGGCTGGGGAGATGGCTCAGTGGAATAAGCTCTTCTCTGGCAAGTGCAAGGGCCTGAGTTCAATCCCCAGTTCTGCAAAAAAATAAAAAAAAATAAAAAAACATAAAAGTAAAAAATTATTTGTAATTTCATTACCCAGATTTTTTTTTTCTTTTCACATTTACTCTTTCAGAGTTTCTTTTCTTGTCTTGTCTTTTTCTCTGTGATACCAGATATCAAACCTATGGCCTTATATGCTGACTGAACTCTGTACCATACAGCTGTATCCCTCTAGGTTTTCTTTTTTCTCTTTTTGCATTTTTTTTTTTTTTTTGTATCAGGGATCAAACTTGGGACCCAGACAGGCACTTACATCTCTGAGCCCCAGTATGGGAGATTTAATCCTGGGGCACTGAACTCTATCCCCAGCTCTTTTTGTTTTGGGACACGTTCTTGCTACATTGCCCAGTTTGGGCTTGAATATGATCATCTTGCCTTAGCCTCCCAAGCAGCTGGGATTATAGATATGTGCTGCTGTGCCCTGCTTGTCTAGGCTTTCTTTTAAAAGTCTGTGTAGTGAAGGTTTATATCCTTTTGTACTTGACATTTTATAAATATTTTTCCATGTTTTTATACGTCTTTTGAAAACATGATTTTAATGGATATTCTATCATTGGGGTATAACGATTTGTTTAATCATTTCTTTATTATTGAAAAATATGTCTTTACAGTATTTGTTTCGATTACTTTTCTTTCATTGCTGAGACAAAATACCTGGTGCTGTTGACCAGTGTATAAGATCATTTGTCGTCCCCCCCCCCCCCATAACGGGGATTGAACTCAGGACCCTGCTCTTGGCCAGGCAGGCGCTTATTCTACTGATCAGTCTCCCTGGCCCTAGGTCATTTGTTTTTAATATTCTCATCTGCATTTAGGATTTATGGATAACTCTTAGGAGTGCAAAAAATTAAGTTTTATTAATTCTTATTTGATCATTGCAAAGTTCAAACTTTTTTTTTGGTGCAATTAAATGCAAGCAATTAAATTTTCAGAATCATGTGGAAAAGGATAATATGAATACATTTGACATTGGACGAATGGAGAATACAGAAAAAGAGAGCCCAGAAACTGAAATTATGTCTAAGTAAGTATTTAGGAAGTACTGTAGTAAGTTCTAATGATTACAGTTGTTTTCTATTTAATAACATTTCAATTTTCTTTTTAGATAGTGTACTCTTGAGACTATTTTCAACTATAAATGATGTTGAAACATTTCAGTAGCCTCAATATTTATTTATTTATTATTTATTTGTGTGTGTGTGTGTGTGTGTGTGTGTGGCCAGTTCAGCCCACCAGGGGGCGGGGCTGGCTGGCATGTGGTGCTGGGGGATTGAACCATGGTCCTTGTGCTTTGCTAAGCTTGTTCTAAGTAGGTGCTTTAGACCACTGAGCTATCTCACCAACCTCCACCGCCCTTCACTTTAATAATAAGACTTTGTTAACATGTCTTTATCATTAACAAAATCTTGCCAGGCATTGTGGCATATGCCTGTAACCCCAGCACTCAGGAAGCTGAGACAGAAGGTTTGACAAACGAATTAGAGGCCAGTCTAAACAATAAGATGTGCTGTGTGGGGGCTGGCCAGATAGCTCAGCGGATTAAAGCACTTGCTTAGGCAGACAGGGACCTGGGTTCAATCCCCTGGCTTTCCTGCCCGCCCCTCCCAGGGCATGCTGAGACAGTGACTGAGACAGGGTGTGGTGGTGCGCGCCTGTAATCCCACCATTTGGGAGGTTGAAAACAGGAGGATCAGGACAAGTCTGAGCTCCGTAGTGAGACCCTGTAGATCTTTAAAAAAAAAAAAAAAGGTGCTATGTGAATTTTTTTTTTTTTTTTTCTGGTAGAGTAACTGGTTAAGATATATGTTCCTGGGCCCAGTGTGATGGTGTACATCTGTAATCCCAGTACTTAGAGGTTTTTTTTTTTGTGTGTGTAACCGGGGATTGAACTCAGGCTCTTGTGCTTGCCAAGGAAGCGCTTATTCCACTGAGCCATCTCCCTGGCCCCTGTAATCCCAGTACTTAGAGAAGCTGAATTAAGAGGGTTGCAAGCTTGAGCTTGTCCTTGGCAATTTAGCTCATTCTAGAGGCCCTATCTCAAAAAATAAGGTGTGTTTCTGATAAGGTACATTTATAATAAGGGTTTTCAAAAGGGAATACTTGATGTGGTGCAGTCTAATCCCAGTTTTATGCTGACCAGTAGATCTGTACTGTCCCAGTGACTGCCATTTACGTTATATCTTGTGCTGAGGCCCTCGAAGTTACACATTCTACAGTATTATTCTGAATGAAGACTAATAGTCTTATATCATTTGCAGATACAGATTTTTCAGCTTTGTGATGAAGTTTTGAATTAAAAATACAATTTACGGTCAGGCTTCCAGGGCTGCAGCTGTTTGAAAGAGTAGGATACAGGTATATGTTTGATGGTGTTCTTGAAGGTACTTGTGTCTTATATTCAAATGGGTTATTTATTCACATCAGGGAAAAAGAAATACTGAAAAAATAAGTAGATTTATAAATTGAGAATAAACATTGAATTTGTGGTTCCTTTGTGGTTATTCTAGTTTAAGTGGAAAAACTCATCTCCTGGATAATCAACCAAAGGCTCCTAGACCTGCCCGATCAGTGAGGGGCCGATTGCAAAGACCAAAGCCGAATGTAGGAAATGCTGCAGAAAGAAAGGAAACAGTCACCCGCCAGGAGCAAGGAGGGGCTGGTGGAGATCAGAACGTGAGTGGGTCCTGTGTTGACAAAGATGTGAGTATTTTGATTGTTCTTAAATTTTGTTAAACAAGTACATAAGCCTTAAATAAATTTCTCATTCCTTTTAAAAACAGCATGGCTGCATAATTTGTGTATGGTACATTATTTATTAAATTTATGGCCAAAATCTCTTAGCCAGCAGTACTTGCTAAGCATTTAGGCATTTTACAGTTAGAGTATTTACAGGATTGCTAAGTTGTTTTTACCTTACCTCATAGTCGCACTTGCTTTTCCTTGCCCCTCCGTGAATATTTGTTTTGTTGTTGTTTTTTGAGACAAGGTCTCCTGTGTACTGGCCTTGAACTTGCTATGTAGCCAAGGATGGCCTCACAGTTGTGACAATTCTCCCATTACACGCATGTACCACTATGCTCAGCTCTTCAGTGAATATTTGAATGACTTTTTCCTTTTTAAAAGATAGTTAAATGTTAAATGCTTCTCACAAAAATATAGTTTCAAGAACAAAGGTCATGAATTTTAGATTATATACATAGGTTTTGTGAAAAGGTTAAAGTTGGCATGTTTTGAGCTTGTGTTTTATCTGTTATGAGTCCTATGTGTGTGATATAGTTGTACCAATCAGAAGAAATCCAAAGGGCATCTTCTGTCTGATGACCCTGGGATGCCACTAGCTCTATGATTGGGCCTCAAAGAGTAGGATTGAGATAGGTGAAAGGGCACCTTCAGAAATTTTCTGAGATACCTAAAACAACACCCTACCAAGAAACAAGCCATTAATTAAAAAGCATCCTTTCAGTATCATTTTATAGTTTTGAGGTCTGACCAGATAGCTCAGTACATTAAAGTGCCTGCTTAAGCAGACACAGGGACTGGGGTTCGATCCCCTGTTTGCTGTGTCAGCCCTGTCCTTGGGGTATGCTGAGTGGGTGACTGAGGTTGGGTGTGGTGGCGTGCACCTGTAAAATAATTTTCAAATTACTGTTTTCATTATACTCAAGTCAAAATTTGCAATGAAATTTTTTTTTTCCATCTTTGACTGATGTTCATTCCCTTTATTTATTTATTTTTATTTATTTATTTATTTATTTATTTTTTGCTAATTTTTTCCCCATAATGTTATTTTTTTTTCCCAAAATTTTATTGATAAACAATGAGACAGTTTCAAATCAAATCGGAAGTACAGTTTCAACAAATAACACACTGCATATATTCTTCTTAGTGGTTGATTACTGTACAAGATGCGGACTTGAGATCCTGTTTACAAACACCATTAGAACAAATCATTCTATTCATTAAGAGAATGCAACTATATATCTATCCTAACCACTTTGAATACACAGATACAAAATGGACATTCATCTGTATACCCTATTTTTTCTAAGTTCCGTTATTGAATATTATAGGTGTGTAAACTCAGCAAAATATTCTAAAAGAGTCCAGTAGACCATAATACCCTTGGGTCTTCTGTTTTGCAATGAAATTTTTAAAAATTGTGTACTTCTTGTGAAACCTGAAAGATTAAAAAAATTTGTTTTAAAGGTACCTCAACGGATGGAAGATCAATCATGTAAAAATTTGGAATGTGAAGATCTCATAAAACAACCCGAGAGAAAATACACTTCTTTTCAAAATGTGCAGCCAGATGAGTGCAGGGCACTTAATAAATGTCTAAGGTAAGCATCACTGGATTGACTGTAACTTTTGAATGTTTGTATATAGACTGTTGGAACTCATTTTGTTAGTGAAAGTGGTTTTGGCTCCTGAGTGGCCCTCATCAGAATTTTCTTTCTTTCATGGGCCATCAGCTTCCGATCTGACATTTGACTCTTTCCTGTGTTTGGTTATTTCAGGAGTTGTTGTCATTAGGCACTGAGAGAGGCAGGTACTGTTATTTATTTATTTATTTATTTATTTTTGTGGAACCGGGGATTGAACTCAGGCCCTTGTGCTTGCCAGGGAAGCGCTTATTCCACTGAGCCACCTCCCTGGCCCCAGGTACTGTTATTTAACTTTAGTCATCTCTGCAAAAAAAAAAAAAAAAAAAAAAAAGTAAAAACAGTCAGCTATTACAAATAATACACAATTCTTTATTTTTATTAGCTTCTGTCTTTTTAAATTATATTTTTTTTTATTTTTTGGCGGAACTGGGTATTGAACTCAGACCCTTGCGCTTGCCAGGGAAGTGATTATTCTGCTGAGCCATCTCCCTGGCCCTAAAAGTTTAATTGACACAGTAGTGATGTTTTTGGGACATAGTTGTGACATTTCAGTACATGTATATAATGTGTTATGATCAGATCTGCATAATTGACAAATCTATTACTGCATATACTTAGCATTTGTGTTGGAAATATCCTCCAAATTTTCCTACTAGCTATTTTAAAATACTTTACTAATTGTGGTTAACCATAGTTCTGCTGCAGTATAGAACATAAATTATTTCTCTTACCCAGTTATCTTCTGCCTGCTGAAGTTGGACTTTTCTTTTGATTGTTTCCTTTGCTGTGACATTGTCACCAGACAGGATCTGTTGAAGTCCTTAACATAGAAAAGGGGTCTCTAAGCCTGCCCAAAGCAGTTTGTTTACTCCCATTTGCAAAAAAAGAATTTTTAAGACCCTTCAATAAAAGGCATGAAGAAATCTAGTAGGCAGAAATTCAAGAACACACTCAAAGAAAAGAGTATACCCCCTTGTGTGGAGCCATGTGTGCCTCCTAATAAATCTTCAACGCTGCTGCTATAAATGTATATATGTGTGCACATGTGTGTATTCGTTCATCCTGATGTGTTTAATTTGATCTAGCTTTTGCCCAATATTAATGAATGTCTTAACCATTAAGAGCTTCATTTGTTTCATATCATTTTTTTTTTGTCTTTCGTAATGAATAAACAAAGCTGAATTCTGTTTTTCTGGAGAACAAAGTGCTTGTTCTAGATAGTGGTTGATTACATATCCAGTGGCATTCAGCAAAATATTGTGTGTTTAATATGTCATTTTGTTTTTGTTTCATGTACTCATAAACACTTAGAGAAATTTTTTTTTTTTTTTTTTTTTTTTTTTTTCTTTTCCTTCACACAGGATCTTTTTTTTCTTTTGGTGGAACCGGGGATTGAACTCAGGCCCTTGTGCTTGCCAGGGAAGCGCTTATTCCACTGAATCATCTCCCCGGCCCTAGAGAAATATTTGTGCAAGAAATTTTGTTTTAAATTGTTTTTTAAGTGTGGAGGAGGTGTGGTGGCATATCCCTATAATCCCAGCATTTTGAGGCTAAGGGGTTTGAGGCTACCCTGGGCTACAAAGTAAGTTTCAGGCCAGTCTGGAGTACATTGACTGTCTCAAGAAGCAAACAACCTCCTCCACCCCCCCCCCCAAAAAAAAAAAAACCCAAAACTGTGGTATACCAATGTAGTTCTTAGTGCCAAGACTTTCTTTTTCAGAGCATACCTCTGTGTGACTATGGGAGACGGCCAAGTCTGTTCTGGCATGGTATATGTTCAGGGAAAAGGTGGTAGGAGCAAAGGGGTCAAAGTGGTAGGCACACTCTGACCTAGTGCTGGTGAGTGTACAGGAGACTAGCATTTGCATGGCCGCTCCAGGTGACAGTGAAACTTGTCAGGGCCATTAGCTGCTACTGTGTGAACTTAGCAGACATTTCCACATATATTGATACATGAATACATTTAGTTACTTTAATATTTCACTGTAATTAAGAAAATGGAACCTCCCCCAATTTTAAAATTTTACCCAGAGGTTTTTTTTTTTTTGTACAGGAGATTGAACCCAAGCTTTTGTGCTTTGTAAATAAGCACTCTTGTCACTGTGCTGTGACCCTACACATTTCATTTTATTTTACTTTTCTCTACTCTTTACTTTTGCTTCACCTTTATTGTTCTTTTACTTTGATTTTTATTTTACTTGACTACTTTAATTTTGTTTTATTGCTATGAAGTCCAGGCTGGCCTCAAACTTACTGTGTAGCCAAGGCTGGCTTCTCTTGCCATAGTCCTGCCTCAGCCTTCCCAGTGCTAGGACTACAAGCATGAACCACCACACCCAAGTTATTTTATTTTGAGACAAGGTCTCTCTTAGTGCCCTAGATGATCTCAAATTTGAGATCTTCCTGACTTCTTAGCCTTCTGAGTAGCTGGGATTACAGGCCTGTGCCACCTCACCTGGCTTGCTTACTAAATTTCTTCTCCCTTTCCCTCCCCTCCTCTTCCCTCTCTTCCCCTTACCCTTTTTATTTCCCTCTCTTTTCCCCTTCTCTGTATCTCCTTCCTGCTGAGGATTTAACCCAGACTCCTGTAAGGACATGTTCTACCACTGAACTCTCAGTCCTATAATTTCTTTTTACATTTTAAACTGGTGTTTTCTTTTTTTAAAACTGGTGTTTTCTTAACTACCATCTCTACAACTGGCAGTCAAATCAGACTAATTAAATCAGTGAAATCAGTTCTAAATCAAGAACTTGATTGTCTTTCTTATTTTTAATAGCATTCAAGAGGATAATGAAACGGATGTACTCAAACAAGTCCCAGTTCCAAGAACTCATTTTCAGAAACCAAAGCCAAATATAGTAAGAGGAATTGGAAGAAGAGGGATTACTTCAAAGGAAGAAATCCCAGAAGAAAGTCTTGTCTCGGGAAAAGGGACAGCAGCTGTGAGAGAACTCATGATACCAGAGGCATCACCAGGGAAGAAGCTTCCAGTGGTCACCACTGCTACTTCTAAAGAAATGCAGTCAGACTTAAGAGAAGCTGAAAGAGGAGATATTTCTTCCAGTGAGAATATACCAGAGGGGACTGATGTCACTGTGGAAGTGGAGAGAGGGTTGAAAGCAACTTCAAAGGATAGTTTAGTGGAAATGATTGATGTCAGTGTGGCAGTGGGGACTGTGGTGAAAGTGACTGAGATAGAGAGTCCCCCAAGGGAGAAGACACCAGAATTGATCGATCCCCCTGGGGAAATAGAGATTAATTTGGAGAAAAGCAGAAGGGAAATATTCCCACAGGAAAATGACCCAGAGGATGTTAAGCCTATAGGTGAAACAGAAATAAGGTTGCATAAAACTGAAAGAGAGATCTCCATAGAAGAGAGGATTTCAGAGATGATTGATGTCACTGAGGAAAGACAGACAGATTTGGAAGAAACTCAAAGAAAAGAAATACCTATCCCAGGAAAGGTCCCAAAGGAGGTCAAAACTATATGTGAAATGGAAACAGATTTAGGTGAAATGGAAACAGATTTAAGAGACATTGAAGGAGAAATTTCCCAAATGGAGAAAGTACTAATAGAGGTCAGTACTCAAAGGGAAAGGGAGATTGATTTGAAAGAAACTAGAAAAGGAGACATTTCCCCAATGGAGACAGTTTTAAGAAACATGACTGCCACTGAGGAGACAGAGGCAGATTTGAAAAAAACTGAAAGAGAAATTTCTTTGAGAGAGATAGGAGCTGAGGAGACTAGTAGTATTGAGGGAATGGTGGCAGATTTGGAAAAAACTGGAAACACAGACATTTCTCCAGGTGAAAACAAACTGGAGGTACCTACTACCTCAAGACAAACTGAGACAGATGGAATGCAGAAGAGAAGTGACTGCAGCACTGTGCCTTCCCTGGATGTGAATGTAGGTATTTTCTGTGTTTAAAAAAAGTGTAAATGTTTTCTGGGAAAAAAGTTACCAAATTCTATAATTTTTTTTCTTTTTAAATCTTTATTTATTAGTACATATTTGTTGTACATTGATTACATTCATCATAGGGAATTTGAAACTGTACCTAATATATCTTTTTTTTTTTTTTTTTTAATGCAGAGCCAGGGATTGAACTCAGGCCCTTGTGCTTGCCAGGGAAGAACTTATTCTACTGAACCATCTCCCCAGGCCCTAATATATCTTAATTCTTTTTTTCCATTCCCTCCCTTCCAACTCTTCTTCCTCTCCCATTTACAAAAGCTTTGTTTTCATTTTTTCTTCCGTTCTGTTTTTTTGTTTGTTTCTTTTTTCTGTCCTCACCCCTGCCCCCTTCCCATTACCATTTGAACATATTTTTCCTACTTCCACATATCTGTTCTCCATTATGCTCCTTTGGGTTTCTCACACAAGAGAAGCAATGTAATGCTTAAATTTATGTTTCTGATTTATTTCACTTAAGATTATAGTCTCGAGGTATATCTGTTTTCCCACAAATGACCTATGTTTATCTTTTTTTTATGACAGAGTACTGCTCCATTGTATATAACCACATTTTCTCTAGCCTTTGATGGGCACACAGACTGTTTGCAAGATTTAATTCTTACCAAATGTGCTACTATAAATGTGAATATGCATATATATCAGCATGGTATGATGCTTTTAACTCTTTCAGGAAAATACCAAGAAGGAGAATAGCTGAGTCAAATGGAACCTCTACTTTTAGTTTTTTTAAAGACTCTCCATACTTATTTCCCACAGTAGTTGTATCAGTTTACACTCCCAGCAACAGTGGAGAAGGATTCCTTTTTTTCCCACAGACTTGTCAGCATTTCTTATGGTTGATTTCTTGATGATAGCCTCTTTCTGGAGATGTTTTAATTTGCATCTGTTGAATGACCAGTGATGTTGAGCATTTCTTCATAAATTTGTTTTTAATTCTTCATCTGAGCAGCGTCTATCCAATAATTCCATAATTATTGCCCTTAAGTCCAGTAATACTTAAAATCACTAGAAATCTTTCCATCACTAAACTTTAAGAACTTGAAGAAACTACATTGTTTTAAAAAGTAACTTAAAATTTTTCTAATTATACAGACATTAGTGTCCCCCTGCCCATATAGTAATGGTGTCTTCACACTGAGCTACATTCCTAGCCCTTTTTAAAAAATTTTATTTATTTATGTGTGTGTGTGGGGGGGTGTGTGGGTGTGGGTGTGGGTGTGGGTGTGGGTGTGGGTGTGGCGCCAGCTCAACCCACCAGGGGGCGGGCTGGCTGGCATGTGGTGCTGGGGGATTGAACCACGGTCCCTGTGCTTTGCTAAGCTTGTTCTAAGTAGGTGCTTTAGACCACTGAGCCATCTCACCATCCCCCTGGCCCTTTTTAAAAAAATATTTTATTTTGAGACAGGATTTGGCCAGGGTTTTGCGAAATTGCTCAGACTGGGCTCAAACTTGCAAACTTCTTGTCTCAGCTGTCTAGAGTGTTAGCATTACAGGTATATGACACCATACCTGGCTGAAAAGCTAGTATTTTTTCCCAAGAGATTGACTTTATTTCCACTGTCACTTCCAATTGTTGATATAATCTTTTCTGACTATCCCAGTGTATATTTCTGCAGACTTTGTGGATAGTCTTGGTTTCTGGCCTCTAGCCGCTGGCTTCCCAGATCATCATTAGAGGTGGTGGAGTCCCCATACTTGGCCCTCTCCCTTTCTTTGGTTTACTAGGGCTGGTTGGAACACTGGGGGTGCTTTTTTCTTCAAATTATCTTAAAGGAGTCTTTGTGGCTTCCTTGTTTCCTTGGGCATCTTGCCCTTGAATTTAGGTGGTGAAGGAGCCCTTCTCTTTTCCCCCACATGGGTGCTTTGCCCTGCTCGTTCAGCATCTGCACTTGGTGTCAATGATACGAATTTAGGTGTGAAGGAGCCCTTTTCTTTTGTCTCATGAGGGTGCTCGGGCCTATTTGTTCAGCATCTCTCTTAGGTACTACTGGTTTTCAGGCCATCTTTCTCTATAAGAGCCTCCCAGTGGTCTAAAGCTACTATTTTTTTTTCCCCCATTTCTGTATTTGGTACAGGGTCTCACTATGCAGCTCAGACTCATAGTGATCCTCTGGTTTTCAGCCTCCCCAGTGCTGGGATTACAGGTGTGTGTCACCACACCCAGACTCAGTCTTCGGCTCAGTGGGTTCTGGGGGTGGGACTGGTGCTGGCACAGAAAGCTACTATTTTTAATAGCAGTCTGAAGTTACTCTTTCAGATAAAAGGAGTATAAGAAATTGGACTGAGTTTGTACTCACTTTAGTATGTGCGTAATACTGGAATCATTTCTCTTGGCAACATTTGTTCTCTATTTTTTTTTTTTTTTAAAGAGAGTTCAGAAATTTATTTTTATTTGTGTGTGTGTGTGTGTGGCCAGCTCAGCCCACCAGGGGGCGGGGTTGGCTGGCATGTGGTGCTGGGGGATCGAACCACGGTCCCTGTGCTTTGCTAAGCTTGTTCTAATTATGTGCTTTAGACCACTGAGCCATCTCACCAGCCCTGTTCTCTATTTTTTGCTCTGCTACAATTTATTAACTATTAAAAATTGCTTTTGTGCCTAGTGTGGTGGTGCTTGCCTATAATCCTAGCACTTGGGAAGCTGAGACAGGAGGATCACAAGCCATACTGAGCCTGGGCTATGAATCAAATTCAAGGCCTGAAATCAACCAAACAAAAACCAAAACTAAACAAAAAAGTTGCCTCTTTTGAAGTTTTCTTTTGTAACATTGTCACAGTCTCTTTTTCTGATTTTGAGTAAACAATGATATTTATGGTTTGGAAAAATCATAATACACATGTAAAAGGAAGACTTGTGAATTCTAGGTCTTAACTGTTGTTTGTTAATTTGGATTTTGTTTTGTTTTGTTTTTGAGGCATGGTATTGCTATATTTTTCAGGCTGGGTGGGCTTGAAAACACTTTATGAGGGCTGGCCAGATAGCTCAGTGGAGTAAAGTGCCTGCTTAGGCAGATGCAGGGACAGGGGTTTGATACCTGGTGTGCTGTGTTGTGTTGTGCCATGCTTTGCCGGCCAGGCCCTGCTCCTGGAGTGTGCTGAGACTGCGAACGACACTGGGTGTGGTGACATGTGCCTGTAATCCCAGCGCTTGGGAGGCTGAAGACAGGAGGATCAGTCCAATTCTGATCTGTGTAATGAGACCCTGTAGACCCTGTACTAAAAATACAAACAAAACAAAACCACTTTGTGACCTAGGATGGCCTTGAACTCATTCTCTTCATGCCTCAGCGTCCTGAGTGCAAGACATACACCATCACACTTGGCCCAACTTTCATTTAAAAATTAAGAAACAAACTTCTAAATATTTAGAGGCAAGTGTATAGTATACTGAGCTTTGCCTGAAATGTGTGAGATGCTGATGGTCTCTTTGTATATGCTGTCACTGTTTCTCCAGAATATTATCAGTGAAGTACAGCCGGTGGTGCACATATCCACGGAAGAAAGTATTTCTGAAAAGGAGCTGTCTGACCAGTTCTATTGTTTGAAGACTATTTCACAGAGTTCTCATCTTGGTAAAACAGAAGACCAGGGTATACAGCCTCCAGATGTTTCCAAGCACTTTTCAGATATTAATTTAAGGTACAAGTATATTGGTCTTTGTGCTCCCCACACCCCTTCTTCCTCTGAGGTACTGGGGATTGGATGCAGGACCTTCACACTAAACTACATCGCATCCCTTTTAATTTTCTTTCTGAGACAGGGTCTCACTAAGGTGCTCAGTTGCTCAGGCTCCTGCCTCAGCCTCCTAAAATGCTGGGATTATAGGCTTGTACCACTTGGTTGGAGGTTCTGTGCTTTTAAAGAAAAACCATATAGAAAGTTGTATTTGCTATTGTTTCTGTTCATGGTAGCCCACCCTTGCTGTAGGATAGCTATCTATTCTATTCTATTCTATTCTATTCTATTCTATTCTATTCTGTATCTGTATCTGTATCTGTATCTGTATCTGTATCTGTATCTGTATCTGTATCTGTATCTGTATCTGTATCTATCTTTTTCCTCACTCAGACTTTTTCTGCAGAGCCCTTTCTTTCCTTACCCTTCTGGGTTTTCTCCACTTGTCTTGTAAAAAGTGTGAAACTTAGTCACCATTCAAAAAGAAAGAAAGAGAAAGAAAAAGTTGTACTTGTGTGTCAAGTTACACTAAATGAGATTTCAAGGTGTAAGATACAAAAGGTATTGTTTTAGACATTCGGATAGTTTTGGGAAGACGGAGAGGACTGAGATTCCAATTGATTGTGAAAATTACTAACACATACAAAACTGTGTGGTATATGTTCTTGAATTGATATGGGCTTGACAGCCAGAGTTTGCTTTGTGCAGAGATGATGTGATTTCTGAGGTGTATACTTCATCTGTTGCCTCATGCTTTTCAGGATCTATCAAATATTTTCATTTCTTTTCCTGTTAAATGGAAATGATAATAACAGTACCTAATAGATAGCTTTAGTGTAAAAATTCTGTTCTTCAAAGGTATTTGAGAG